ATTTTTTATTTTCTTTTTATTTTCTTTTAAATCCATGTAATTATCACACAACGAATCAAACTTTTGTGAAATATAGTGGAGGTTGAGATGTTTGGACTTCCAAAGCGTCTCCCGTCCATGTATATATGCCATTAAATCTTATAGAAAGCCTAAGAACGTTTGGACTTCCAAGCTTTTCTACAATAGTTTGAAACCTTAGACTCCCATGCATGTTTTCTCTTTTCTTCCTTTGTTTGTGCTGAAATGTTTGCATTCTACAATCTCCTCTAAGGACATCTTGGATTAGGTTTGTTTCATTTTTTTCCTGAAACTTCCAAAACTTTAATTTCTTTGAAAATTTCATTTTCTCATTTGTTCAATGTTTCTCTTCAGTCTGACTTTACTCAGGTTCAACTAAGACGTGATTTATCTTGGAAGAAGCATCTCAGCATTATTTTGCATTTTCCAATTTGCTTGGTTAGACCAGGTACGCATTAGGTGTTTTTTTTTTTTTTTCTTGCAAAACACAGATTTGATTAGGTGTTTTTTTTTTGCATTATTGGGTGCATTATTAAGTGTTTTTTTTATGCTGAAATATTGAAGAATAACAATTTTCATTTCTCCTTCGTTTCTCTAATTTTTTTTACAAAATGTTGAAAAATAACCAAAAAAAGTAAAATCGACTCATTAATAACAAAAAAAGTAGAGAAAACAGAAATAAAAGCAATAAAAAATGAAAAAGAAATAATCGGGTCATCGCAAAACCTGTTCCAACGATAGGGCGAATAAGATGACAAAAACGGGTTTTGCAAGACCCGTTTTCGATAGTATACCGGGTTCATCTGAACCCAAACCATGTTGCGGACGGTTCGCACCAGCAATGCATCATACGGTATAATTAATTCATTAATAGTAATTGATGATGCACAATCCGGCCGATCTTAGCTGTCAACGATCTTGCCTCTGAACTGAGTGGTAGGGACCTGAAACGAAGGGAGAAGAGAAGCTCCGGGGAGAACCCAGCGTAAGGGCTCCGAAGCTCAAGTTAGAGTCTTTCAAAGGCAAGATAGACCAGATAGCGCGAAAGTTAGCATACCTCGTTCTTGGGGGGGTAGGAGCCTTTTATAACCACCTCGCGCACTCACTTCCAGGCTTCCGTCAGATCGGGATGATTATTTCTGAGCTCCTGCCAGTTCGGATGTCATTTCCTCTGGCCGGACAGAACCGCCACTGCTCCTTTTGTCGGAGCCGTCTCTGCGGCTAGTAACGACGGTGGCAAGTGGCGGTAGCAGGAGGCCGTTTGAAGTGCGGCTGTCAGGCGTCAGATCCCAAATCAGTCAGGTGCGTCGCCCTTGGATACGGACGTCCTTGGTGTCAGGTACGTTTGGTCAGCCTAGTGTTTCGGAAGCGAAGTGTTGGAGTAGCGAGCGAGATGTCTTTAGTTCGGTTTGGGGAGTGTTCCGAGCTGCCATGGGCCAGCTCGGGTCACAGCTTTGTGAGGCTTGGGACCCGAGATAGTTCGTGCTCCTTGCAGGGAGCTCGGGTTCTCAGTAGGGAGCTCGGGTTCTTAATAGGGAGCTCGGACTCCCAGTAGGAAGTTCGGACTCTTGGTAGGGAGCTCGGGCTCCTATTAGGGCGGTCTGGTGGAGTTCGGGCTCAGTAGTGAGCTTGGACCGTTACTTTCGGTGCTCGTTTTGGGCGCTCTGCTGTTCCGAGTTGCTTGCTTTTGCCACGTGTCGGGTGATTGCGAGGTCGGGCCAAATTCTCCTTCATCAGTAATCAATTAATCAACAATAATATAATTAACAATAATTAATTACAGTTATTATCATAAAATTACAAAAGTCAACTATAATTAACAGTATTTATTTTTTTAATATTTACTTTTTAAAAATTACATTTAAATAATTATAGTATTTTTAATAGTTAACCATATTTTAATAAATATAGTATTTACTAATTACAAGTATTAATAATTACAATATTTATTAAAAATAATGTATTTATTAATTAACAATAATTTAATAATTACAATATTTTTCATAATTATAATATTTTTCATCTTTTTTAATAATTTACATTATTTTAAAAAATATGGTATTTATTAATTAACAGTATTAACTATATTATTTAATTACATTAGCAGTATTTTCAATAAATATAGTATTTTATTAATTACAGTATTTATTTAAAAATAATGTATTTGTTAAATAACATTATTTTCAAAATTACAAAAATCAACTGTAATTGACAGTGATTATTTTTTATAATTAAAAATAATTATTTTTTTTAAATTACATTTAATGACATTTAAATAATTACAATATTTTTAATAATTAATAGTATTTTAATAAATATAGTATTTATTAATTAAAAGTATTAGTAAATACAGTACTAGCAACGATGAGGTAGGTTTTTTTGCTTGAAGAATGGGTTTTAAGATTCTACAACCTGTACGGGTACGGGTAGGGTACGTATTAGGCTAAACCCAACCCTCCCTAACCTGCATATTGTTAGAAAGCATATAAACTTTATGTACTAGGTCTTGAATTTAATAATATTTTAAATTTTACATGAAGGACAATTGATAGTTTGTGTTTTTTAAACGCCTTAATCAAATAATTGGAAAATTTGTTGTTGTTTGTGTTATTTTTCTTATTTATTACTTATGTATGACAAGAAATAAAACGAAATTAGATGCAGGTTCTAAATCCAACCCGCCTTACCCTTGATTGTGGGGAGGGTAGGGTTTGGGAGGGTTTTGCATTTTCATGTGCGGGTAGAATTTGGATTCTTAAAATCCAACCCGTTACAGGTTTTGGAGTGGGTATGGATTGAGAAATTCAAGGAGGTGGATAGGCTCTAGAATTTACAAACCCTCCCCGTACCCGCCCCGTTGCCATCCCTAATTAAAACATGCCAATTTCTAAAAACTGCAATTTCCTGTGCATCGCACGGGTCCCCATTAGTTAACATATATATTTTTGAACATCATGGGTTTTGATAGAAATGGTTCCATATTCAATAATAAATGGAACAGGTTCAAATGGACAAGATTTGCATCCTAGAATTTCATGTGACTATTGCTTTACCAATATCGTGTTTGGATTCTAAACAAACCCAATGACCCGACCTCATAATCGAAAAGATGGTATTGGCTAATGTTTTGAAGGAATACACAATGGGATAGCCCATCCCCCAACCTAGGTGCAGACAGGAATCGACCCTAAGCTTCCACTATGATCAGCAGGAAACTTTACCAACCAGCTGGTTGAAACCTTGCTTGTGAGGGATTTATTGAGAACCCGGATTTCCTCCACTCCTCACACTCACTTCATAGCATGTTTGCAACCGTACTTATATGTTTTCAAAGAGATGTGTCGAATACACTACAGCAAATGTTGTGAGGTGGGTGTAAGGAGCATTTTGTCGGGGATTCATTTCTTGAATCATCTAAGTGATAATTATAAGAGAAAAAGAAAAACGGAATTCAGATTTTCTCCTCACAAAATTGGTTCTTGATCACCCCCACCTCACAACGATTGTAGATGTGCATGAAAACATTTCCGTATTTGCATATCGTTATTCATCCGGCCATATTAAGTGTTGTGAAGTGAATGTAAGGCTGTGTTTGGTTGCAATGCCAATAAATTTGTATTGATGCAAAACTATAGCAGTACAAAATATTTGAGTGTAAATTCTGGCCTTCCCAATTAGTACCCTATACTTTGGGCCTAGTGCCACTTTGGTTCACAAACTTTAAAATACGACACTTCAGTACTCGAACTTTTAAAACATGACAACCCATTACCTGTTGTTAACTAGTTGTTAACCAATCGTTAAGTGGCATTTGAAAATGACACAAATGCCCTTCAAGTGTCATCTAATTTTCTTTATCAACTATCAAAATATTGATAAAAAATTAATAGTCTCAAATTCTTGCCTCTTCTATTCAAGAAAGATGAGGTCATCAAAATGTCCACTCAAACGTAACTCCAACTTTCTTAAATGGAAAAGGTAAGGATTTGGGACTGTTAATTTTTTTGTCAACGTTTAGATGGTTGATAAAGAAAATTAATTAAATCACTTAAAGGGCATTTGCATATTTTTCAAATTCCACTTAACACCTGGTTAACAGCTAGTTAACGACAAGTATTGGATTGTCACATTTTAAAAGTTTGGGGACCAAAGTGGCACTAGGCCTAAAATACATGATACTAATCAGGAATTTTCTCTATTTCATTTTTTCAATTTTTAGCTTATTTTATTTGATTATGGTACAAATAAAATAAATTAAAACATAAAGCAGAATAAAGTAAAACCCAACACAAAGTTAAATCAGAATTTGCATTTTTTTTCATTTACGCTCCCATACATTTATATTAATGCAAATAAAATTACACTGCAACCAAAAAGCAGCCTAAGGACCAATTCTGTGAAGAAGAAATTCAGTCTCACCAAAATATTATGGTACGTAAATTTGATATTTGAAAAAGTTTACAACTTGTAATCATAAGTATGGAATTGGAACCCTTGTGATGCATTTTTCTGTGCACTCTGAAGTCTCAACTGAACGAGTGAGCTGTAGAAAAAGACCATTAACCAACCCTTAAATAATAGCTAATGCTAGTCCTGCTCATTTAATTTTGAGAGAACTCACAACTTTGTCTCCACCTTTAAATATTGACAGCAACAGGTTTTTCTTGCGTGCGTGACAGTGTGTCAATAGGAAAAATTTTAGCCGTTGGGCTAGGTAAAGTGCCCAATTTAGAAACTGTCTCAACAGCGCAGCTTATGCTGTTGGGCCCCAACAGCCAAAGAGTTGATAGTGAATCACGGCCTACGGCCTTCCATGTATCATTGCGGTCCCTAGGCCAGATGTCACTTCATCTTATTCTAAGTGGGGGCCACTCTCATCAAGGCCGGCCATGATGAGATTTCATGGTTTTAGCAAAAGTTGAATGATGTCTATATATGGAGCTGTTGGGTTCCTTCTCTGCTTCTCTCTCCTGTTCGTTTTACTTACGTGTTCACCAAGGTGAAGGTGTGCCATGGCACTGGTTCAAAAGTTGTTAAATTTGGTTCTTCCCCCCGTCTCCCTATTCATTCTAAGTCTCGCCCTCCCTATACTGTTCATCTTCAGAATCCTCAATTACATCCTGACATCCTTCTCTAGCGAGAACATCACCAGAAAAGTTGTCCTAATCACCGGCGCCTCATCGGGCATCGGCGAGGTGCAAAATCTTTCCAGCAGAGCTAGCTAGCTTAGTCACCATCAGCATCTTCATCTGCTGGATTTCTGTTTATTGGCTTCTGGCTAATTGATCTATCTTAATTGGCTATTACAGCACTTAGCTTATGAGTATGGGAGGAGAGGAGCTTTTCTGGTCCTCGTCGCTAGAAGGGAGAAAAGCCTCAAGGAAGTTGCAAAGAGAGCAGCAGAGCTCGGCTCGCCTGATGTTCTTGTCGTCTGCGCAGATGTCTCCAAGCCCGAGGACTGCCAACGTTTCATAGACGAAGCAGTCAGCCACTTTGGGCGACGTAAGTGAATGCTCGATCGCAATAATTAATCTATGTAACCTAACTCCAGCTTCGAGTTTTATCAAGCTAATAAGGATCTGATAATGGTTGCGTTGATGCAGTGGATCATCTGATCTGTAACGCTGGGGTCACTTCCGGCTGCAAATTCGAGGAAACAAACGATATCACAAACTTCAGACCTGTAATGGTACGTAGTTTAATTTTGATCATCTCTTCTTTTTCAATTATACAAATTAAATTAAACTGCATATGAACAAAGGATTATTATGTTCAGTAGTGTTTCTGGATGGTTTAATTACAGGATGTTAACTTCTGGGGATCGATTTATCCAACTTATTTCGCAATCCCTCACCTGAGAAGGAGTAAGGGAAAGATCGTCGTGAATTCTTCATTGGCCGGATCATTCCCCACACCGATGTTGAGCTTGTATGGTGTAAGGAATCTCACGTACATGGAGTTGTCTTTCTGTTCTGTTCCTTAGCAGCTTAATTAGATCCTCCTCTTTTGGGCCGGGATTTTAGTTCAGTCTCTCTTCTGTTTCTGGTGTCTTTCAGGCGAGCAAAGCTGCAATGGAGAACTTCTACGAGACACTGAGAGTAGAACTGGCTGGGGAGGTTAAAGTAACGACAGTAACTCCTGGGTTTATAGATACAGAGATGACTCAAGGCAAACACCTATCCAAAGAAGGTTCTGTCAAAGTAGAACAAGAATGGAAAAATGTAAGATCATATCCAACTTCACTATTACTCTGTTATATTTTTTGTTTCTGTACTGTTATAATATTAATTGAGGGGATGCTTGGAATCGTGGCCATTTTTCAAAAAAATGGTGCCACGTCGGATCCACATAGGTGTTTCAATAAACGCCTGTATCCTGTGTTTCCCGAAATTGTTGACTGATGTGTATCCTATGTGGTGCTTACCTATCAGTACATACATGAAAAATGGTGATGAAAATCACTTTACCAAACAGTATAGTGTTGCTCACTGCCTACGAAGCGTTTTTTTGTGAAAAATAGGTCTTGGAAGCATGGGCATTTTTTCTTGAAAATAGGTCATAAAAAACGCCCATGCTTCCAAACACCATGTGAATTACCAAAATTCCCCCAACCCTCTGGCCCCATCCCCCGTTGGCTGGCCCACTCTTTTCAATTTTTTTATAATGCCAATTTTATTTTATTTTTTAATTTTTATTCAATTTTAAGAAATTTTAAAAACAAAATGGCTATAATTTACCATTTTATCAAAACAGATCTAAATTTATTTAAATAGATTGAAATATATTCAAACATATTTCTAAAAATATTATATACATGTGCTCTCTCAGTCCCGGCCTTGTTTCTACCAAGAGGGATGGAAACTCCCCCATCCCCATCCCTAATGGGGCAGGTCCAACCGATAATCCATGAAATGGAGTAAATTGCCATGCCTAGATACATTTTAACGAGTCAAGTATGTTAGAAATTTCATTTATATAAAACCCCATGAGATGGAAAATTGAAACCCAAACTTATTAAACAAGTTAAATCATAAGAATATCAAATTTTGTATGGGATCAAGAAAACCGAATGATCTTGTATTAAACGGTACAAGGTATTTATAGATACAAGGTGAGAAGCCGGCCAAATGCCAGTTAGCTTAAACCAATTTGCAGTAACAGATTGTCCACTTGGAGTTAGGGGTGCAAGTTGGGCTGGGTTTATGGTCAACCCAGGCCTGGCCTTATAATTTGGGCTTAAAGCTTGAGCCCGAGGTCAAGTCCGATTTTTCCAATCCGAGCCCAGCCCATCCTATAATTTGATGCATTCGGGTTGGTCAATGAACCCACACTAAAATCATACATATATAAATGTATTTTTCAAATATATATACTTATATTTATGTATGTATGTAACATTTATATATATATACACATATATATGTATAAATGTATATAATTGTGCTGGGTTCGGGCTACCCAAGGGCTAGGCCCAAGCCTGGTCTAAAAAATAAAAAATCCCGACTTCTTGGGCTCGAGCCCAGCCCAAGGATCAAAAATCCAAGCCCAACCCGTGTAAAATTCTGGGTTGAGCTGATTTGGGCTAGGCCTGCCCAAGTTACACCCCTACTTCGAGTAACAGATTGTACAGGCGGAGAAACCTCTTAACTGTCTTCAGTTATCCCCAACACGCCCCCTCAAGTTGGAGCATAAGAGTGTCGAATGCCCAACTTAGGAAGTAGTGAAGTGAAATGATCTCGTCCAAGAGCTTTGGTGAAGACATCAGCTTGTTGATCCTAAGATGGTATATGGGCTGTGACAATTTTCTTGGACTAGAGATATTCACAGATGAGGTAGAAGTCAATTTCAATGTGTTTTGTACATTCATGAAACACGAGATTTGTAACGATGTAAAGAGTAGCTTTGTTGTCACAAAATAGGCGCATGGGCTGAGGATGGAGAAGCCCAAGGTCAATGAAAAGTCACTTAAGCCATAGTAATTCGGCGGTAGCTGCTGCCATTTAACGGTATTCGGCTTAACTGTTTTCTTGTTTTCTAGGACAAGGGAGATGAGCCCAATGAAGTATCAGTCTTGAAGAGAGTATTCTTCAAGACTATATCCGATGTGATAGCAATATCCCCTTGGGATTGAACTGGCATCAAGGTGCCATTGGGTAACTGAACTGGTCGGGGTGCTACAAATTCTTTGGCTGTACGTGTCAACTGTAGTGAGCTAAAAGGGACCATATGGTCCGATGCTCCTGTATCTAGTAGCCAGTTGGAACGGGAGAGTGTACGTACGGAGTTGGCTGAAGCCTGGTTGTCATTGTGAAGCAGAGTCAAGAGTTGATATATGGTATTACTCTGCTGTTAATTCATACATTTTCTGATCTGAGGATTGCTTGAAAGTTGCCTTGTCTTTGTCATTTGAAGTAGGCTTTGCCGCAGATTTTCCCTTATTCTCCCATCCTGGTGGGTATCCTACCAGCTCATAGCACCGGTCCTTGGTATGACCGGATTTCTTGCAGTAGTCACATCGATATTTTGAACTCTCCCTTATTCTTGCTGCTGAATTTTGATAAAGAAGGGAAAATAATTAATTAAAAATAGTCGTTAATTAGGTAAAGTTGCAGCTGAAAATAGAGATCCAGATAAAGCTCTTCTTTTTATTTATAATTCACTAAGCTTGTCTCTGAAATGAAGTCAGCAATATGATTAGAAGTATAGCAATAGGTCTAAGAATTTAAATTGGTTAGTCTAGATAAGCAGAAATCATAGATTCTGAAATAAAGAGAGACTCCAACTTTAAAAATATATGGGTTGTTTAGATTTTCTTCTTTGTTTCTTGTTTCAAGGTTTAGGCTAATTTTTTTTGCAGTGCGGATTACATTTTCATTGATATAAATGTATGGGAGTGCAAAAAGGATGAATATAAATTCTGGTTTGCTTTTGTTTAAAACGTGACTTGTCTCAGAGAAGTATATCAGAAAGTAAAATGAAGTAGTCACTATTTTATAGAAATGAAAATGGAGGTAGGAGGAAAGATGATGTGGTTTCCGGTTAATATAAATCAGAATTTGCTCCTCACAGACCACTTCTCACACTGACCTCATATTACATTTCAACATGTATTGGGAATATCTCTATATATAACAATATTTAAAGTATGGGAGATGTTCCCAATGTGTGGCCAGGACGTGCTATGAGGTGCTGCAAAATTCATATCAGCTATTGAGATACAAAATTTGCATTTCCAAAAAATGCAAATAAGACGATAAGTACAAATTTTATATTAGGTATGAATGCAAGTCATAATTACAAACAAATGGATACAAAATTTGTATCTGATTAAAATTTGAACCGTAAACAAATAAAATCTTAATAAAGTAACAGCTCGTGAGGCCCACCGACCTTACCACGTGAGGTCCAACTTCCTATTTTTACCATTATTATTTTGTTGTTTAGTTGACTTGTTTTTAAAAGTTAGTTTCTATTTTTACATATATATATATTCCTAACTTCTTATTCTATGAGTTAATTTGGATTTAAAAATAAATAAAATCTGTTTATAATTGTATTGGACTCTCGTTAACCCCAATCTGGTGCTACCAAACCATATATCTATTTAAATCAACATATATTTATTGATAATGGTTGGTTTAATTAATATCATATTTTCATTAAAATCTCATAAATTCAAGTCTCAATAAAGTTATTTTTCATTTAATAATTTAATAAAAATATAAAACATTCAAATATGATGGAGTCCAATCAAAATCTATGGATAAAGTTATCATCTATGAATCCTGTGTTGCCATTTCTGTTAATTTCTTATTACTTTTATCCAAATCCTTTTCGGTATGTCCTTTAATTTGTCACTTTCAATTTGTGATACATCATGCTGTGAATAGTCTTCTGTTCATATGACCGATTCATCTCAGTCAATTCTCTCAATTTAACATCATTTAATAAATTTTATAGATAAAATCCAATTCGAATGTTAAATATTAAAGCATCCCTCTCAACGAGAGGAGGAATCAGGAATGGGATGAAACCCGTGGTACCAGTCTCCCCGTGGTAGGGGGTCATGGACCTCACGTGCACCACCCTACTCTGTCCCATCATCCCATGCCATGAGCCCCCAGTAACGTGTGTTATGTAATATAATTTAGGTCTATTCGTTTTTTGGTTATTTATCCGGGTAAATATAATTATCTGTGTAAGTTTTTTCTGAAAAATATTTATTCGGGTAAGTGTGTTTATCCATGTTTTTTTATTTTTTTAGGTAAACAATGTAATGACAATTTTAGTCATAAAAATTTATTATTAAAAGAGACATTTTTTCCCACTTAAGTGTTAGCAACTTTCTTTTTACATGGAAAAATTATTTACCTACCTAGAAAAAGGGTATATCAGGAAATAAACTTTCCTTGGTCTCCACATTAATCTGAATAAATAAACATAGAATTCTTGGTCAGTGGAAATCAAAATCCTATTAACCCAACTTTCCTCCTCTCAAAATCCAAAAAAAAAAAACGCCTCCTTAAAACAAAATTAAAATCATTATTAAACTCATAAATATCTCATTCAAAAAAAAAACCCTTTACTTACAATCCAAAGGAAGAAAGAAAGAGGTGGCAGTTCAATATAAATTCATAGAGACTTGACGGGGATGGCATGATAGAGACCCGAGAGGCCTAGAATTTTCAGTTTGACTTGAGCCAAACTCTTGGCTTGAAATTGAGCTTCGGCTAAGTTTGACGGGCTATGGATGGATGGATCAATTGGGTTTCTTCTTCTTGTCTAGTAATCCCACCCAATAGTGGCATAGAGACAGTTACTTTTAAATTTCTATCGAGACTTGTATCACTGCCCACAGGCGCAGGGGCCGTAATTCATTTTTTATTGGCATATTACAGCATTAATTAGGGGTATTCATGGTTGGGTTGGGTCGGTTTCAGTCATTTTCTTCAAGTAACCTGATCTAGTCAGTTTATTTATTCACTAAATCAAAATCGACCGACCCTGAAGTAAAATCGACCCAAATGTAAAGGGTTGGTTTGGGTCGGTTTATTGGTTTAGTCAGTTTTTATATATATTTTAAACTAAAATATCTATTTATATTTAAGTTTATTACCTTTTAGTTTTTATGCAAAATCAAAATATATATTTAAATCAATTATTTTTTATGCAAAACTGATTTTTTGTCAATATATATTTAAATTTATACAAAACTGAATTA